TTGGGCTGAGAGAGAGTGACTTGGCCCAACATCACCCAGCTGACTTTCATGCATAACAGAGAACTAGAACTTGAACCCCCCAGTTTCTAGCCCAGCATCTTAACCATTCACTTTTGTAGTCCATACACCAGTGAGGAACACCACATTGGGAAAAGCTGGCACAGGCAACAACGTCATGACAGATGTTGCAGATCTAACTGCTTTACTTTAGAGATGTGCAAGTTGAGATCCCACGTGGCTCTCAGGAGTCTAAGAGTTTAATATACAATTGAAACCAGAGGTTTTGCTTTTAGGACTGATGGACAAACAGTTGGAAAAAAGTCATGGAACCTTTACATGATAACTGCAGTGAGATTATTGTATGCACAAAGATGGAAAGATTTGGCACTGCCCACAATGGAGGAATGGTTGGTGAAGATGATGGAACTTGCTGAGATGGCTAAATTGACTGTTTATCGCTGACTGGAAACCCCTTATAAACTTTTTGTGTGAAACAGAAAAAAATGAACTTGTGATTTATGGTTTTCATGATTAGACAGAACAGATTATGGAAAGAAGAGAGTTATGTTGTAACCATAGAGTAAGAGGTAAATTTATAATTGTATTTATAACTGCTGTAAAGAAGATCAGAAGCGACTTCTTTGTATCTTTGTTTCTTTTCTATTTTTCTTTTACTTTACTTGCTTGTACTCTTAACTTCCTCTTTGATTTCTTTCTTTTCTTTTCTTTTTCTTTTCTTCTTCTTTTCTTTTTCTTACTTTTATTAGTTTGTAATAGTTTTTATCTCTTTTTTTAAAAAACTTTAATAAAAGTTTAGCTCCAGAAGCTGTCAGTAAGTTCCCATTTTGAATGCAACAGAAGCTATTAAACATATGGGTTAACTGTATCAATATAATGTAATTAATGTGATTTTAAACTATACATTTAATTGAGCTTTTGAACTAACTCCGTTTACTTTGGGAAATGTGCCCCTGGCTGCATTCCAAGTCTGGCTTCAGTCCCTAAAATAATGTAAGTTCCTACATTCCGGGGAAAAGCTGTGATTGGAAGAGGGACAATAGATTTCAAAAGCTGCAGCACAGCAAACTCAGTCCTGAAAGGTTCCTGAAACGTTCCCAGGCCCCAAATGAATTTCCAGAGGATTCACTTTGTTAATCTGTGGCAGCAAAAATAACTGAGTTACTATTGCTTATGCTGTAATAAAGCAGTTCCAGAAGACTCTTTTGCGGTGCAGAAAAGAGAATGCCAAGTAGTAAGTCGACTGGGAAATCTAACCTCACCTCCATTGAATATCGTTTGCCATCAATCTGATGCTCAGAACCAGGCTGAAAGACACCATCTCCCCAATGAAGGTGAAAGGATTTGGCTGTGTACCGTGCAGGAAGGCCAAAGCCACCAAGGTGGAGACCATCTCCCAGGTGTACGTCAACTGCCGATTAAAAAGAGAAGAAAAATCCAGCTGCATTCTCATAATTCTAGATCAGGTTCTTTAACCTCTGAGGGCATCTGAGAATAAATTATGGGCAAACTCCTGCTCTAGATTGTCCTCCCTCTCCCCCCCCCCGGCCATTCTTCCTATTAGACCAAGAACAGGCAATGATGTCCCTCTCATTATCTTGGATTTCATTTGCCTTCAGCCCAGCGAGTGACTGATTGTGGGAGTTTAGTTTGCAAGAACCTGTGTTTGCTTTCTCTTGGGCTAAACGCTGTGATGGAATCAATTACGCTAACCAGCACATTTGAAAATGTCAGCTGCACAACTTCTGAGGCTACTCATCTGATCTGATCTGCCTGTCTTCCCCTACCTTAGATTTACCAGAGGCTGGAACTACAACTCCCAAAATTCCAAGCCAAGAACAATTGAGAATTCTGGGAGTTGCAGTAATCTCAGCACATCAGCTGACCGTTCCAGAAGGCAGCTATGTAATTTTCCATGATGGTCCAGTGGCTGGATGGAAAATAACACAGACACACACACGTGTACATGGCAGACAAGGGTATTTAAGGGAGGAATTATGACCCTTACATGCTTGAGAGTAATATGACCATATGTTTTACATTCATTTCTTATCCAAGGATACTAATTTCAGTGGGGTTAACTTTTCAAGCAAGGATTTGTGTCTTAGATTTATTTCTAGTTGAGGTTTCATTTATTTGTGAAAAATGCCTTTCCCTCAAGAATTTCGAATGTATCAGCAATGGAAAGAGTAGCATTGCCCATCTGATGGGAGAAATATTCTATTCCTCCCCCCGCCTTTAGTAATTTGTTTGTAAATCACAAGTAACTGTGCAAATACAAACATCAAAAGATAATGACTTATGTTTCTAGTTGCATCCCTTCACAACTAACACTCCTTTGCACAATTATGCAGGAGTAAATCCACTGAATAAGGCAAACACGCCTTATTCACGTAAATTCAGCCCCTTGCACACACGCACACAGTTTTCTTGGCAAGAATTTAGAATGGTTTTTTTTTCCCCACTTCACCGACTTTCCTCCAAACTCACTCATCATTTCATTCACGGTGGACAAGATTGCTTATTTTTGAGGAACAATGCAAAGAAATTCACACTAAGGCAATTCCTGGCACGAATGCAGC